GGTCAGAGGACAGTTTGAATCTCAGGCTTCTGGGTCAGTGTCCCAGAGAGTAAAGAGATAGCCCCCTCAGCCTAGAACTGCCCCAGACCCCACCCTCACTTCTGCGGCAGTCCAGAAGGTCACAACTGTGCCTTAGTGTCCCCCTCAGTTGGGGGCCTAGGAGGAGGGTATGTACTCTGCTGTCACTGCCTGAGGTCTGCACAGGGAGGAGCCAAGCCCGTGAACGACCCCAGTCCTCAGGAACACAGACCTGTCCCCAACCAACCAGGGCTTCTTCTGTCTCAATTTCGGGCCATGCCTCCTTCATCACACTGGGGTGCTGGGTCCTGAAGGAGGAACCTAGTTTAGCACAGGGGAGGAAGCCATGCTCAAGGTGGGGCTTCCCCGGCCCTCCCGGCCCTCGTCCAGGGTAGCGCTTTGTTTCCTTAGGGCCTGGCCTCCTTCCAAACACAGATTAGGACATAGCCAGGTGGCACAGAGCTCCTTAGGTGGTGGTGACCTGGCTATTTATAGCTGGTTGTTTCCCAGGCTATAAAGGTACTCTGCTGGGGGGGGGTCACTGGGTCTTGTAGAGTCTTAAGGAAAAGCTTGTGTTCTAGGCTACCCCACCCCCACCCCCAGCCAAGGCAAATCCAGCCTTGTCAAGGCATCCTGCAGGCTCTTCCAATTCGGGGTGAATGGATGAACCAATAGGGAAAGCCAGGGAAGCCAGAGCAGGGGTTTACAGGCACCTGGTGCACCTTGATGTGACTTAACCCTACTCAGGGCACAGAGGGACAGCTGGGGAGTGGGGGCCATTCCATAGACCTCTGAGCTTTGGCAGCCCACCCGAAAAGTGAGATGTAAGAAGCTATGGTGGACAGTTGATCCAGGGGACAGCTTGGTAGCATGCTTTCCTCCCGCCCTCCTCTCTTCCTCCCTCCTCTCTGCTTAGCTTGTTTCTTCCCTGCTGTGGCAGGTGTAATTCCCTTCAGGTGGTGAGGAGCTGCATAAGGAGGTGAGATGTTGCCAAGGATCCCCAGGGTGAGGGAGACATGGTCCCAGCCTGTGGGGACCAGCAGGGTGTCCTGCTCACTCAAGTTCAGGAAGGAGCAGTGGGGACACTCACGAGTCTCTGCTGGCCTCGGCCCCATGACTGCCCACCTGACCCTCACTTCATGTGTGAGCAGGCTTTACTTCAGCTTGGGGACATGTGGGGACATGTGGGGGTGGTGTGGGGTGGCTGATGGTGCTGTTCCTGAGACACGGGAAGAGTGGGTCACATCTTTCGTGTTAACTCTCCCCGACAGAAGCAGGGCTGGGATGGAGCTCCATGGAAAAGTGGGTACCCAGCAGGGTGGGAGCCTCAGGCTGCACCCCGGCTCCGCATGAACTGCGTGTGGTGGAGATGCCTGTAACGTTAAGCACGCGGGAGGTGAAGGCAGTAGAGTCGGAAGTCCAAGGATATCCTCAGCTACAAAGGGAGCTAAGGCCAGCCTGGGATAGAGGCCTCCGCTCCCTGAGTAGTGATGGATTCCAAGGCAATAGGGAAGTCCTGGGTAACTGCTTGTAGCCTGTCTTCTATGACCTGTGAGGTTTTAGATGACACACTGCCCTGCCCAGAGTTTCACTTCCTCCTCTCCAGAATGATCTGGGGGTTTTCAGGGGCCTGAGGTGCGGAAGCCAACGTTTTCTGAAGGCTGAGGGAACAGTGTATTACTTGTATCACCTGTGAGGAGATGAACTCCAGTCACCACACAGGCCAGGAGAGGCCCAGCCTCACGGGCTCCAGTCACCACACAGGCCCAGAAAGACCCAGTCACACAGATAACGTGGCACTGAGATCTGGTCTGTGCCATGCCCACACTGTCCCTGGTGATTCTAGAGATGGCTTCAGAGACTATGTGCTGGGAGAGAGGGCTCAGGGGACAGCCTGCAAGTCAGAAAGAAGTAGGCCCAACAGTACCCGAGTGTGGGTGCCCCTAGCTTTGAGTAGAGCCTGTTGAGCGTCCTGGGTGCTTGGAGGGAGAAATCATCTCTGAGACTAAATTTTGCTCAGTGTGCCAGGGCCACCAGCTTTCAGGCGGGAAGGGGTGGACAGGTGGGGGCCTCTGCCAGCCTCGGCCCAGGGACTACGGGTCTGACCCTCAGCTCAGATACCTTTGTGCTGTACCTGAGGAGGGTGTGCAGGCTTTGCCCAGCTCAGGGACACCTGGAGGCCCGGCCGACACCCTCCAGCCTGTCTCCTGCCCACCGAGGGCACCCTCACCAGCAGGGGCCAGGCACTGAGCTCAAGTTCCAGGAGACGGGCAGACACTGAGCAAGGTCTGGCTCACGCTGTCCCGGGCACAAGGGTGCCATCAGGGAGACGGCTCTAGTGGCAGCCCAGAGTTACACAGACCTTGCCTCCTGAAGGGCAGCGAGCCTGCACATGCCTGCCTTGGAGAAGACCTTGCCTGAACTACAGCCACTAACCCACAAGTGACTGTGTCCCTGCGATGTCCTTTGGTCTGTTCATTTCACAGCCTGATGTAGGCTCCCCAGGCACTCAGGACGGCTCTTGCTTGGCCTCTGCCCAGTGAGGTTCCCTTCGAGCGAGCACTTTGTATTTCCTGTGTGTCTGCCCACGGAGAGATGTCAGCACTGAGGGACGTGTGGCACTGTGTCATAACCCAGGCTGCCATGTGCGGCCTCCCCAAAGCCTAGTCCTGATGTGTAGAAAGCAGCTCCCAGAAAAGGCCCCACAGTTGGATCTGCAACAAAGGGTGCTCGGCTTCTCTTGGAAAGAGAAGATGTAAATTCAGATAAGTTGAAGCGGGCAAGTAAGATGGCTTAGTCACGGGGTGGGGTACCAGCTCCCCAAGTTGTCCTCTGACCTCCGCATGATGCTGTGACATGTGTGTGTCTTAATAATAAATGTAAGAGAACCATATCCTTTCAAGTAACATGCTGATGAATTCCCTTAAAACAAAACAAAACTCAAAAGTCCAAGGTACTTTTTTTTTATCTGCAAGGTCTGCAGAGATCAAAGCTTACACTGGCGTGGGCGTGGGCGGGAGGTGTAGGTGTGGGCGTGGATGGGAGGCGTGGGTGTGGATGGGAGGTGTGGGTGTGGGCGTGGGCGTGGATGGGAGGTGTGGGTGTGGGCGTGGGCGTGGATGGGAGGTGTGGGCCTGGGTGTGGGTATGGGCGTGGGTGTGGATGGGAGGTGTGGGCGTGGATGGGAGGTGTGGGTGTGGGCCTGGGTGTGGGTGTGGGCGTGGGTGTGGATGGTGGGCGTGGGCAGGAGGTGTGGGCGTGGGCATGGATGGAGGTGTGGGTTGTCTCTCATGGACATGTGATATAGCTTCTCAAGGGAGAACGAGATGGGGAGGGGCAGGACCCCCCACAGACACAGGCACTTTTCTATAGATTTGCCATCTATATTCCACATGACAAACCAATGGACCATGTGGTCCATGCCCACATCGGGCTGCCACTGAAACAAGAAAACAAACAAAATCCAAGACACTCTCCATTGGTGGATGTAAGGCTAACATGTGGGTTCTTCAGTTTTTAAGAACAATTTATTATTATTGGTGTGTGGTGTGTGTGTGTGTGTGTGTGTGTGTGTGTGTGTTGTGTATACAGAAAACAACGTGTGGAAGTGAGTTTTCTTCTCCAGCTGTGTGGTCCTGGCTCAGACTCAGGTCATTAAGTTTGGCAAGCCCCTTTACCCACTGAGCCATCCTGCCAGCCCCCAGACGGGCTTTAACAGGGGACAGGGCTAAGGCAGGCTTGATTTATTTTATGAGCTCGTATGAAGGTGTACGGGCATACGTGTGTTCATGCATGTTGGACATGAGGATGCATGGGTGTGTGGAGGGTCGAGGACAACCGCAGGTGTCCTTGGGTGCTGGTCAAGCAGGTTACTGGCTAGCAGTGACTTCCAGAGTCCATCTGCCTGGCTCCCTAAAGCCCACACCTAAGTCAGCAAATGGAGTGGGGGTCCTTCTACCCCCACGGTCAAGCGCCTCACCAAGTGAGAGGTCTCCCTAGCCTTTATTACGTATTTGTCTTTGGAGACAGAGCCTTATGTGATCTGAACTGGCCCTGAATGCAATGTGCAGCTGGGGATGATCAGGGTGATCCTCCTGCCTCCACCTCCCAAGGGCTGGGAGTACAGGTGCTCCACCAGCCCAGCCAAGTACATACATGGTTCCCCCTGGAGACGGGGTTTCTCTGTGTAGTTTTGTAGACCAGGCTGCCCTTGAAATTACAGCGATCCGCCTGCTTCTGCCTCCCGAGTGCTGGGATTAAAGGTGAGCACCACCACCATCAGCACACATATCTTAAGTGTGCTGCTGGAAGAAATTTGTCACTCCTGATCTGTGGGGTGGGAAGATTCCTCTTGGATCTTGGATCCCTGAGAAGACATAGCAGTCACTAAAGAAACAAACTGATACAGATATGCAGGGCTGGGAGCCTTGTCTGGCAGCTTAGGGAGTCAGCTGAGGACATAGTCTTGTCTTTCAAAGGGAGTAGGGAGAGTCCACTGCTGTGAGTTTGCAGGGGTGAGGCCTATGCCTGTCCCAGCCTCCGGGTGGGTGTGGGGGCTGCCTCTGCACAGGCTCTGGGCCAGAGCAGGCCTTCCAGAAACATTTTTTTCTAGAAAGGGCCTTGGTGATGAAGACCTGTGATGGGGAGAGATGGCTGGTGAAGGGGTGAGGGGTAAAACTGTATCAAAAGCAGCAGTCACCTCAATTCTAGGGCCTCAATTCCTACTGGCCTGGCAGGGATCCGAGAAGTCCCTGCAAGCTGGGGGCCTGCTTGGCAACATAGGGTAGTGGTTGGGTAAATTACTGTGACCTCTGTTTACTTTGCCCTCTGCCTCTACCTTCTAGAACATTCACTCGAGGAAGGCAGGGATGTGGTGGGTGCTCGTGGGCAGAGCATGAATGCAAAGGCAAATCCCCAGTGGGTGGGAAGGCCTGCTGCTTGAAGGTGGCCTGGAAACCTGAACCGAGATGTTTCTCTTCCAGTCGAATCAAGAGCAATGTGGATGGGCGGTACCTGGTAGACGGAGTCCCTTTCAGCTGCTGCAACCCCAGCTCCCCACGGCCCTGCATACAGTACCAGCTCACCAACAACTCGGCACACTACAGCTATGACCACCAGACCGAAGAGCTCAACCTCTGGCTGCGGGGCTGCAGGGCGGCTCTGCTGAGTTACTACAGCAGCCTCATGAACTCCATGGGTGTGATCACGCTCCTAGTCTGGCTCTTTGAGGTAGGCCCACGGGGGACAGGGAGAGGGAGCCTGCCTGACCTGGGTTTAACATGGTGAAGCCAGACCTGGGGAATAAGCCTCATGTAATTTAGGCTGGCCTTGAACTTGATATATACCCAAGGCTAGCCCTGAATTCCTTATCCTCCTGGCTCTGCCGCCCAAGTGCTGGGGGAACAGGTGTCCCTCCCTATGCCTGACTTCTTATTGTGGAGACAGGCTCACTATGTTGCCCACGCTGGCCTTGAATTTACTGTCTCCAGCCTCAGCCTCCCCTTAAAAGCTGGGACCATAGTGTGTACCATCTTGGTTGGCATCATTGCTTACAAAAAATATTTAGGTAAAATCAACATAAAATGAACCTTTTCTCCTTCCTTCCTTCCTTTTCCTTTTTCTTCTTGAGATAATGTCTTTTTATATAGCCCTGACTGTCCTGAAGTTTTCCATGTAGACCAGGCTGACCTCAAACTCACAAAGGTCTGCCTACCTCTGCCTTCTAAGTGCTGTGATTGAAGGCGCACATGCTACTACACTCTGCAAAAAAATCAAGCTATTTAGTGTACTCACAGTAGCACCTATCTGCCACCTCAATCTAGTTCTGGAACATCCACCCCCCACCCCCAACACCCCCACCCCCTAACCCCCGCCACGAAAACTCTCAGCCCTTCCAGTCCACAGCAGCTGCCCATCTGTATTGTGTCTGAGATTCACCCATCTGGACACTTAGCCCGACTTGGGGGTTCCTCTTCTGCTCCCACTTTTTGTTTCTAAGGCCTTGAATGGCTATAGTAACGTTACACGTGGACGGCAGCATTACCTCTGGGGACTACTGGTGGCCTTTCGTATACGGTGATGTGCGCACTGGGACCTTCAGCCAGTGGAGTCTGTGTGGGCTTGTGCTTCGTTCTAGTCAGTGTATAAGGTGTCCACCTCATGTCCTCTGAAAAGTTTAGCTCCTCTTTTGGAAGCTCTGGAGCTTGAAACTCAGCACCCCTCCCCCGCCCCTCCCTTGTCCAATTCATCCTTGGAAGGGAATTCTCCAACAGCAGAGCTGGGAGCTGTTCTAGGTGCTGAACGGGCCACAAGCTGCTCAGGGGTGACACGTGGTGCCTGTAAAGAGCAATTCTTGCAGCAGAAGAAAACCCAGCCTCCAAAATCAAAATGTATCAAGACAGAAACATTAGCTGAGACAGTTTCCTTCTATCAGAGAAGGTTCCTTGAATCTCTCTTGTAGTCCATGGACGTGGACAGGGGGTATCTACACGGGTCTTCTAAGCCACCCTGGGAATGGGTGGCATGAGGGGGCAGTTTTCCACCAGGTTACAGTCACCACCGTCTAAAACCCACAACAAAACCTGTCACTGAGGACCGTAGTGGAGCACCTGCCATTGAGGACTGTAGTGGAGCACCTGTCACTGAGGACTGTAGTGGAGCACCTGCCATTGAGGACTGTAGTGGAGCACCTGCCATTGAGGACTGTAGTGGAGCACCTGCCATTGAGGACCGTAGTGGAGCACCTGCCATTGAGGACCGTAGTGGAGCACCTGCCATTGAGGACTGTAGTGGAGCACCTGCCATTGAGGACTGTAGTGGAGCACCTGCCATTGAGGACTGTAGTGGAGCACCTGTCATTGAGGACTGTAGTGGAGCACCTGCCATTGAGGACTGTAGTGGAGCACCTGTCATTGAGGACTGTAGTGGAGCACCTGCCATTGAGGACTGTAGTGGAGCACCTGCCATTGAGGACCGTAGTGGAGCACCTGTCACTGAGGACTGTAGTGGAGCACCTGACCTCCTCCCAGACTACTGTAGATGTTCCCCAGCTCACAGGGACCAGTTCATGGGGAGCAGGGAGTTCAAACACCCCAACTTGTGGTGAGCAGAGCTGCTACAGGCACTGGGCTTCTGGCAGCATTGTAACCCTGGCTTCGACCTTTTGAACATCACATCCAGTCAGGAGATGACCAAACGTGAACAAATGAGTCACGGTGTAGCAGGCTTCAGTCAGAAGGTCACTTTTTCATTGTAAAGCACATTAGTAAGCTTTGAGCAAGCAATAATAGCTGAAATTGGCCAGGCACTATCATCAGATACTCCTACAGTTAAATTCCCCCAGCGCACCAATGGGCAGACGTCTGGTGAGGCGCTGCCACCACCCGCTGTGCTCTGGGGCCGGGGTGCTGGGTAAACCAGGTGTATGGGATACGGGGTTAGTCCTACTCTTTGGGAGCAGCCTGGGGCGGCACAGGGAGCTTCAACTTGCACAGAGGTTAGGGAGTGAATGTAATACAAAAGGGAAGCAAAAGGAGTACCTACCAACCTAGCCAACAACCAGCCGACAGCTCTCCCTGTCAGGTGACAACGGGGCACACCCCACAAACACAGGCTGGCAGTCGCCATCTCCTTTGGAAATCTAGAAGCCGGAAGAAGGCAGCCATTGTCTCCCAGTCTCACATCCTCGCAAACACAGGCTGGGAGGCCAACCCTGGCACTTTTGGCACCAGAGTCTGCCACAGGGGATGTTAGGGAAGCTGGTGACAAACATCCCTTCACCCCCACACACGAATGAGGGTAGGAGATGACCCTCACACCGAAGGGTCTGTGGACGAGATGACTTTTCATGTTTCCAGATTTATTTTACATGTGTGTTTTGTTTGCATGCATGTATACACATCACACGCATGCATGGTGCCAGTGGAGGTCAGAAGAGGGTTTTGGATCCCTGGAACTGGAGTCATGGATGTTGTGAGCTGCCCTGTGTCTTCTGGGAACCAAACCCAGGTCCTCTGCGAGAGCAAGTGCTCTTGACTGCCGAGTCGTCTTCTAGTCTCAGAATGACTTTTTTTTTTAGACAGGCTCTCTCTAAATAGCCCTGGCTGTTCTGGAACTCTCTGGTAGACCAGGCTGGCCTTGAACTCACAGAGCTCTATCTGCATGGCCTTGGCTTGAGTCACTGAGTTTGACTTTTTAAAAAATTGTATTTTTTTGCTTTGTGTGTGTGTACATGTTTGGGCATATGTGTGCCATGGCACACTTGTGGATGTTGGAGGACAACCTGCGGGAGTCAGTGGTCTCCTTTCACTATGTGAAATCAACCTCAGGGTGACTCTGGGCAGCAAATCTCTACCCATCAGGCCATCTTGCCAGGTCAGGAGGTGACTGACTTTGTGATCCCATCCAGGGACACTACTGACATTCTTGTGGGCCAAGAAACGCACTGGGAAAGGGTGGGAGGGCATGGAGCAAAGGAGGGGTGTCTGCAGCAAGGTGGGAGGCAGGACGAAGGGGAGGGGAGGGAGGGGAGGGAGGGGGATGGAGGGAGGGGAAGGGAGAGAGGGGGAGGGAAGGGAGGGGAAAGGGAGGGGGAGGGAAGGGGAGAGAGGGGAGGGGGGAAGGGAGGGAGGGGTAAGGAGGGAGGGGGATGGAGGGAGGGGAAGGGAGAGAGGGGGAGGGAAGGGAAGGGGGAGGGAGGGGGGAAGGGGAGAGAGGGGAGGGAGGAAGGGAGGGAGGGGGAGGGCCCTCACTCAGGATTGGCTCTGGATTAACAGGCAACTGTGGAGACTATTACATGGTCTAAACAGCTGTGGGGGTGGGGCTGGAGAGGGAGGCCAGGGTGGGATGGGTCAGGCCTTTACCAACGCAGGCTGGGTGCCACCATCAGTGTAGCCCCACGCCCAGGGAGACGTGTATTGCTGGCACTCACATTTTCCTAGCAGCCCAGCTGCCAGCTGTGCCCATGTGTGCCCTAAGTCTGGGCTCTCCCCACCAGCTGTGCCCATGTCTGCCCTAAGTCTGGGCTCTCCCCACCAGCTGTGCCCATGTCTGCCCTAAGTCTGGGCTCTCCCCACCAGCTGTGCCCATGTCTGCCCTAAGTCTGGGCTCTCCCCACCAGCTGTGCCCATGTCTGCCCTAAGTCTCGGCTCTCCCCACCAGGTGAGCATCACTGCTGGACTCCGCTACCTGCACACAGCGCTGGAAAGCGTGGCCAACTCCGAGGATCCCGCTGAGTGGGAGAGCGAGGGCTGGCTGCTGGAGAAGAGTGTGCCCGAGACCTGGAAGGCCTTTCTGGAGAGCTTCAAGAAGCTGGGCAAGAGCAACCAGGTGGAGGCTGAGGGCGCAGACGCAGGCCAGGCTCCAGAGGCTGGCTGACGGGCTGGGGCCGCTCCCCTCCTCACACGTAGCGGACTCCAGGAAATGTCCATCTCCCCTTGTCCAGCTGAAAGTCCAAATTTCCCAAGAAAGCTGGGCACCTACTGACTCTCCTTGACAGTGGGCCTTGAAGTTCGGGGTTCTTAGGGCATGCAACAGACATGTGAAATGGCTGCCTCTAAATGTGAGGGAGCGAGCCTTCCCAGTGGATGCCCAGCCTCACAGGGGCCGGTCCAGGATTCATCTCTGTCTGAGTCCAGCTCTCCCACAGGTGACTGGCTGCATCAAGACCCCTCCCCTGGTAGTGTCTGTCTCTTATCTGCGTCCAAATCGTCACTTGATACATAAACACAGGGTGAAAAAACCAAGGGCTATGTTGTCTCTTCTTTAAGGGCAGGGCTGACAGGCTGGTCATCGTTTCTCATGGTAGATTATGGGGGAGGGGCAATTTTATTTCTATAAAAGCAATGGACTCCCCAGAGGCTCACCCCACATAGGAATCCACAGATGGTGACGAGGTGAGGCCTTTCCTTTATCCTACGTCTCCCCCATTCCCTGAGTCACTTATTCCAGCTTCACCCACGGGCTCCTGGCATGTGGCAGCACCCCCTCCACTCACAAAGTGCTGGGTGAGCCACTGCCTGTGGCTTGTCTGAGACAGAGCAGGGCGAGCTTGCTGTACTTCTGTGGAAGACAGTGACGATCACAAGAATCTACCACTTGCGGACCAGGCCTTACCTCCTGGTGGGCTTGGGGTTGTGAGCTCAGATCCTTGGGGACTGCACTTCAAGAGGGCAAGGGCCTCTGGGAACTTGTTTCCCCCAAAGCGGTGTGGAAGGGCTTCTGTCATCAAGAAGCCTGTCGGAGACAGGCTTTCTTTCCAGACTAGCAGGTGTGGGAAGTTGCCGTTTCTTCTGGGAAAGACAGGCAAGCTCTCAGGGAAAGAGAGGCATGGTTTTTGCTGGCACCCAGGCTGGGATGCCCAGATCACCACAGGGCCCAGTTGCTGTTGGAGTGCACTGTGTAATTCTAACCTCTCTCAGGGGGAAGACCCAGTCAGAGATCCTGATGACACCATCAAATTTTGGCCCTAGTCTCTCAGAGCAAAGGATGGCCCAGAGGACAGGCACTGTGCTGAAGACCCCGAGTTTCCCACTATCCCTCAGGAGGGCTGGGAGCCAACGTGAGAGCTATTTTAGGACCCACGTGTACCTATGTTGTCAACAGTTGTATTAAGAGACATTAAAAGCTATGTTGTGTGAAAATCACTTTTGCTAAGTGACTGTCTCAGTGCATTCAACAGCACACACTGCAGGATGTTCAATTCTAGCCAGTGTAAGGAGGCAGAGGCCAGAGGATCAGGAGTTCAACGTCATCTTCTACTACAAAGTAAGTTCCAAGGCTAGCCTGGGCTACATGAGACTGTGTCTTACACACAGGGGAGGGGGTGGGGACTGGAGAGATTGACTCAGTGCTTAAGAGTGCTTGCTGTTTTTGCAGAGGACACAGGTTCGGTGCCCAGCACCCATGGGTACTCACACTACTTATAACTCCAGCTCCATGAGATCTGATGCTTTTTTCTGACCTCTATGGATACCCCCACACATGGCACCCTCCCACAGTTACATAAATAGTAACTTTAAAAAAGTTTTTAGCTGGGTGGTGGTGGCACATGCCTTTAATCCTAGTACAGGGAGGTAGAAGCAGGCAGATCTCTGCGAGTTTGAGGCCAGCCTGGTCTACATAGAGTTCCAGGATAGGCTCCAATGCTACACAGAGAAACCCTATCTCAACTCCCCCCCCAAATCAAGTTTTAGCTAGACAGTGGTGGCATGTATCTTTAACCCCAGCACTCAGGAGGCAGAGGCTGAGTTTGAGGCCAAACTGGTCCAAAGAGTGAGTTTCAGGACAGCCGGGGCTACACAGAGAAATCTTGTCTTGAACCTACCCCCCCAAGCCTTTCTTTTTTTCCATGTTGCATTTCTAAAAATAAGTAAATAAAAATGTTTTCTGTTCTTTTTAAAAGATTTATTATGTATACAGTATTCTGCCTCCAGGTCAGAAGAGGGCACCAGATGAACACCATGTGGTTGCTGGGAACTGAACTCAGGACCTCTGGAAGAGCAGCCACTGAGCCTTAACCTCTGAGCCATCTCTCCAGCCCCTAAAAGTGTTTTCTTATATAGGTAAATATAAGCCTCTTTGGGACCAGGTTATGGGCAGGTATGGTTTGGAAAAGACAGGAATAATAGCATTGGAAACAGTCATAGGTAGTCGGATAGTTGTCAGGAAAACCTAGTCCGTTCCTTTTGGTGACCTACCAGTGCCCAGTAACACTCTGGTACCAGGCTCCTCAGGCTTGGCAAACTCACTGACGGGTGTGTCAGCCCAGCTTCAGGCAGGGTCACTGGTAAAGACAAAACGAAGAGACTTTCTTCTTCAATGGCGTGATGGGTTAGGCACTGGCCTGTGTGTCTTACTGTGTTAACTCTGATTGGCCTAGAACTCATTATGTAGACCAGAATGGCCTAGAACTCAGAGATCTGCCAGCCTCTGCCGCCTGGGTGTTGAGATTGAAGTCTCACATCACTATCTTGACCTAGCCTTCTATTTTCAAACGTTCTCTACTGAAATACCACTTGGTGGCTTTTTGTGCTAAATACCCAGCAATCCCGAGAGTTTTTAGTCTCACCTCAAGTGAGAACCTCCAGATCCCTTTGGCATGTTTCAAGCTCAAGACTAAGCCATCAACAAATAAACCCCTAGTAACCTCAATATGGGCTAATAAGATTAGCTGCTTCTGCTGGGCAGGCTCCCAGCCCTCCTCTCCCGGGCACCTGTCATGCTAGGCCAGCAGGTTTACAGCTTAGCGGGAACAATTAGGACCTCTCACCCATGGTGTGAAGAGTTCTCGGTGTGTCAGCGGCAGAGCAGAGCCTGTGGACAGTAAGAGGTCCACACGAGGTGGGATGGGTGCTTCCCACTTCTCAGTGGACGTGGATTGGCTGCAGAGGGGACAGCTCAGCCATTCACAAAACCCTACACAGGAGTATTTGTAGGCACAGGTGTTCACCAACAGTCACGAAAGGTCGTTCAGTTGGTGACTGCATTAATATCTGAAGGGTGGGACACCACTGGCAACCAGAGGCCCGTGTGATTCAAATACCCTTCCTTTTAATACTTTTTTTCGAGACAGAGTTTCTCTGTATTGCTTTGGAGGCTGTCCTGGAACTCGCTTTGTAGACCAGGCTGTCCTGGAACTCACAGAGATCCTCCTGCCTCTGCCTCCCCAGTGCTGGGATTAAAGGCGTGCACCACCAATGCCCGGCAATACGTTTATCTTAGGAACTGTATCTATCCCAGGCCTCAAATTCACTGTGTACCTGAGATGACGTAGAACTCCTGATCTTCCCACAAGTGCTGGGTGGTAGGTGTTACACACCACAGCAGTTTTGTGTGGCCTGCGATGGCACCAAGTGCTTCATCCATGCCAGGTAACTAGGCTATGCTCTCCAGTTTTAGAATGAATTGGTTGGCAAAGCAGCAGGCTGGGAGGCACCTGATATGACTCCAGTCACCTAACAATCTGGAAGGGGTGCAGGACAGGAGCGAGCCAGCATTCAAGGCAGGGAGAGGCGATGAGGGGCATGAAGGAATGTTCCGGGAGACTGGACTGCTCTAATTCAGTGTGGTGGTTGTAAAACAGCTGTGTGCATTTGTCAAAATGTAAAATCAACCCCTTGCTCTAGAAAGGACTGTTCTTACTGTTTGTAAAGTATGCCACAATAAACACCACTGGATAAGAGTGGGGATGGACAGCTGGGCGGTGGTCTCCCACATCACTTGGTAAGAGAGGATAGAGGCTGGGAGGTGGTGGCGCACGCCTTTAGTCCCAGTACTTGTGAGGCAGAGGCAGGCAGATCTCTGAGTTCAAGACCAGCCTGGTTTACAGAGTGAGTTCCAGGACAGCCAGGGCTACACAGAGAAACCCAGTAGCCATTGAGAGGCAGCTGGCCTGGGGCAGGAGTCAGCTGGCGCAGCAGTAATGACCAGGTGGGAAGCCCAATGTGGAGAGCCTGGTGTTGGGCAGTGTCCCCATGCAGAGTCTGGTGTTGGGCAGTGTCCCCATGGAGTCTGGTGTTGGGCAGTGTCCCCATGGAGTCTGGTGTTGGGCAGTGTCCCCATGGAGAGCCTGGTGTTGGGCAGTGTCCTGGTAAGAGGATTCTAGGAACACAGAAGCACTCTGGTCTGAGTAGGTCGTCTTCTTGTACCAAGTGTCTGTGGAGTATAAGGATAGGGACCCACACAGAAGTCTGCTGAGTGCAGGAACAGGGACCCACACAGAAGCAAGCAGGCAGGGTCAAGCAAGTGCTCACCCATGACAAGGGTAGCTGTACACAGACCTGCTTCCTATTGAGCTGAGGTCAGAAACGCCCTGCAGAGTTCTAGCGCTCACAGACAACGAGCAGGGACCCTAATCAGCAGAGATGATGTACATGCTTCCCGGCAAGGTCAATGTGGCTTGGCTAGTGGCCATAACTGACACTAATAGTTTAAGCCTCTTAAATTTCAGGCTAATATCAACGTCCCACTTTCTCAGCAAGGTGACATGGGGAGCTCTGCTGGGGTGTTGTATGAAACAAGACAGAAGATGGTGGCAACGGAAGTAAAGTCAACACCTAAAGCCTTTATTTGAGTATCTTTAAACTTTTTACATATGATACATCCCAAATTTTACAAGTTGTCCACAGATATTAAAATTATAGCCAATTTGTTAAACATGTGATTTTCCCTGATATGGAAAGCATGTTATATAAACATTTCTACAACAAAACACATGCGGAACAAATAAAAGTCAGATGTGCTGATCGGGACGAGAAACCATCTTAACATTGCCACACAGAGTGAGGCTGCAGATCTGTGGGAATTCACTGCAGATCAGACTGACATTCTCGAGAGGGAACCGCAGGGCCACCCTCCGCTAACCCCAGGCTTCTGGGAGTCAGGCCTAAACCCAGGAGTGCTGGGATGAATGACCCTGAAGATGTTTACAGATGAAACAAGCTGTGCTCATGATTGTGTTCCCTTCTTGGTTGGTACCAGGATCGAACCAGGGCTTCACTCATGCTAGGCAAGTGCTCTCAGACTGGGGCTCATGCCCAGAGAGGTCTCATCACTTTAAATTTAAGAACAGTGAATGGAAGGCAAAAAGCCAAGAGAAGCCAAACTTAAAATCTGAAGACAGGTCAAAGGTTAAAAAAGCATCAGTTGTACCATCCACAGCCCATTCAGAGCATGTCAAGGAGGCCAGGGGAGGGAGAGCAGGAACGGTTTTACCTTGGGCTCCTGTCGCGTAACCCTAGCTCTTGAGTCTGTGCCAAGCAGAAGAGCTACGTGAAGTCCATCCTTTGGAGGGGAGGCAGCTCCTCACATGATCCTGGAGACTGCTAGCTGCATTTCTTTTAGCTTCTGGTCTAGATTTCTCACCCTCCTGGGATACTGGCAGCTGAGGGGAACAGAACTTGTGGTTGCGATTTGAGAGGCTGAGTGAAACGGTTGTTAGCTGGCTTAGAAAAGCCGATGGCCTCTTTCTGTTCATGTGGCCACATGGAGACCGGAGTTCATCCCTTTGTTGAATCTGCTGTCACCGCATGTATGTGAGCTCTCTGCATGTCTGTTGAATGAGAGTAGGTGTGTAGTGTGCCAGAGTTGTAACTGCGGCACTAAGTGGCTATGGTTCTAGAAAGGCACCTCTTAGAATAAAACCTAAAAGGACTAGAAGCTTGTGTGCACACAGTCTAAGGAATGTCCTAAGCCAGCTGGCAGACAAGCAGCAACACATCTAATCCAGATGTGGGGTGGGGCAAGGAGCCAGTGCTCCTCAATTTTGCTTGGTTGGAGACAAGGTCTCAAGTCATCCAGGCTAATCTCAAGCTCCTAACGTGGCTGAAGCTAGCCTTGAACTCCTGGTCCTCCTGCCTCAGCCTCCCAGGTGCTGGGATTACAGGCCTGTAGCCTTACACTTAGCTGAGCTCTCATCTGTCTGCTGCTGTCTGGGTGAGACTGCACATCTCGCTCTGTTGACCTCAGAGCAGAAGTTTCTGTATGCAAAGCTAGGAGGTCCTTTCCATTTCAAAAGCCCTTTAATTGAGTAAGCCAAAGTCTCGATAAAACTAAGAAAAGCCAACCATCCACAGCTGTGAAAAGCCAGCTGCTCTCCCCCTAGCTTTCCCGTTAGTGTCCCCAGCCTTCTAGGCCATGCAGAGAA